AAACAAGCCTTACGACATTTCACCACAGAAACACGACGCACAATCGGGGAAGAGATAGCTTGGCTCCTAGCTGCGTGGTTTCTTAGAGTTTTTGCCCACCCCGAATGGTTGGCTAACCCTGTTATGGTACAAAAAAAGAACAACTCCTGGTGTATGTGCGTTGACTACACCGACCTCAACAAGGCATGCCGGAAAGACCTGTTCCCGTGACCCCGCATCAACCAGATTATCGACTCCACTGCGGGCTGCGAATGACTCTGCTTCTTGGACACCTATTCCGGCTACAATTAGATCTGAATGAAGGAGTAAGGCCAAGAAAAGACGTCTTTCGTCACACCTTTCGGGCAACTCTGCTACATCATACTAACCTTCGGGCTCAAGAATGCGAGCACCGCATATCAGCGAACGATGCAAAATGCCTACTGATCGAATTAGCATCAACGTCGAAGCATACGTAGACGACGTCACAATCAAGACATGGCACGAGGCCAATCTCATATCTGACCTCACACAAATGTTTTCAAATATGTATCAATTTAGTATGAAGTTGAATCCAGAGAAGTGCATCTTCGTGGTCCCCTCAGGCCAGCTCCTTGGTTTCATTGTCTCTTAGCGACGCATAGAAGCAAACCCGGAGAATATAAAATCCATTGTCGAGCTCGAGCCCCCGAAAACGTTAAAGTATAGAAACTTGCAGGATGTGTAGCAGCCCTAAGCCATTTCATCTCTTGGCTCGGAGAAAAGGCCCTTCCCCTTTATAGGCTCCTTCGGAAGAGTGGAAATTTTTACTGGAACAACGAGGCCAGATCAACGTGAGGTGTTCATTCACCATCTATCCAAAACAAAGCAGGACGTAGGGTATTAGCTCGACCATGAAGGCCTGAACTTGGGTAAACTCCTTCCGTGTCCTCCCTTCTGGAACTTCTAGCTGCGCTATCCACCCTACCAAGGGCACTGAAAATATTCTGCACTGTCAGTGAGGCCTCTGACTCCGACTGCGACGAAGAGCACCTCAATGACTCCTACTAGACGGCGTCGAAAGGCCGCCATAGTAATAGAAAGGTCGACAACTTTGCATATCTAATCAGGGATATCATCTATCTAGTCTTGTCACTAAATATATGTATGGAGCAATGAAGTTTGCCCCAATATATATGAACTAGCTTTGTAATGTTGTTTGAGTGTAGATCTAATTTTATTATGTGTTTTAATGCCAATTAGAAGTGCACATTTCGATGATATGCCTCCAATTATTCATGGGATTCATTGCCATACAACTATGACATTGCAACTTAAAGTAAACTCGTTACCCTACAACGAGAACATTGCAAATGAAAGAAGACGGGCATTGCCCTCACTGCAAGGAGGCACTTTTAGACGTCCCGCAGCCACCGCCTTTTGGAAGTGACCAAACAGAAGGGGGAGCCTTTGGCTGCAATGACTTGGGCTTCGACACATTCTAGGTACGAGCGTGCATCGTGAATGCAGTAGACGGTCACAACAACTATGCCCTCCATATCTTTGTTTCCATTTCGGCCTTTGTGGCGGCCTCCATGGGGGTGATGTATCGACAGGCATCGGGGAGGCGCTCTTCCGCAGTGGCTCCTTCAACTTCACGAAGAGCTTCGGTCTGGTCCTTCTTCAGTACTTCTACGCCCTCTCCTAGTATCGATGGGCGGTGCACCGCTCTACGGTCTTGCACAGGACGATTCAAAGAGGAGGTGTGCGACATGGAGAAGGCGAGGTGGGCGCTGAGGAAGATAGGTGAGAGTGGCAACGACGGGGGCACCATCTGGCTTATTCAGTGGGTCTATTCAGTGGCTATTTATGTAACAGTTAAAGCTACACAATATTATACAGATAGACTATATATCCAAATCACAGAGAGAAACATCTCAAATAAAAAAAACTATTCATTTACCTTGGTCAACGTTATGTATGGATCAGATATGCACCCCACATTACCCAAATATATATAGATATGTGTGTATCTTTTGTTTTTGACGATGCGTGAATAATTGTACGCCTACATGTCATGTTGCATTGTGGCCTTACTCTATGTGTGTGTGGTATACATGTTATACTTGCATTAAATGATACTTCTAAATTTATACCTCTTTAGGGTGGTCACAGTGGGAAGTGTCATATACTAGTATCATGCATATGATACCATTGTATGACACTATCTCCACAATGCATAATATCATATCTTGGTATATAGTGGCCTTATTTATTCCCATGCATAACACATACTACTACATCATTTAAAATGATACGGTATCATATCATGATACTCAATCCTCTCTTTCCTCATTTATTTATCTGCCACCTCAGCAAAAATGCCTAGCTGGCATGCATGATACTACCTATGACACTTTCATTGTGACCAGCCTTATGACAATAGTACTGACTGTTGAGCTAAATTGCATGAACTTAGTATAAAAGGTGGATGCATAGTTACCTCTTGTTCGCAAGTAGTACCCAGACTTCATTAAAAAGCTGATCTTCATCGCATTCTGCCAAATTGGGAATCATATCCTCGTGCTTGTGAATTTGACGGAGGATGTCCATGTAAAGTTTCCTCATATCAGGATCCCTAGATACTGAAACGAAAGCCGTGTACTCGTACTGCCCTCGAATCTTATCAAACATTGCTTTAAGAAGAGTTGTCTTCCCCAATCCTGCAATTCCAAGAATAGAGACTATCTTCATCTTCTTGAACACACCTGTTTCATCTATCAGCATGCTTATCACCTCGTCCCTTGGAACATTGATGTCAACCATATCTTTCGGGTATTTGTACAGAGGCGACAAGGGAGGGTCAAAGATAGCTGCGGCATTTGGATTAGCAGCAATGTGGACGCTGACCTTGTACCTCTCACGTCGGGCGGCCAAATCCTCGGCTTTTCCCATGATTTCATTGATGGCGTAGGAGATGTCATGGTGAGCCTTCCCTCTGCTGAGCAATGCAGAGGTTCTTGGAATGAGGCCCGCAATGAAGCTGTTTAGGTTTTTGTCAGCCTCAGAGCCATCGACGAAGGAATTGACTATATCCTCGGCGTCATATGAGAGGTCTCTTACATCTCTGGCCCAGGCGTTGAGGACCTCATCCCTCTGATCGGTCTCCAGCTCACGGTCTTGCTCCAGCTTGGCCACCATTTGAAGAGCAGCTTGCAGAGCCTCCAGTTCCTTGTAGAGGGAGTCAACGAGGTTCTTGACACCAGGCTCGAGGAGGTCGAGCAGCTTGTGGAGGATGTCGAGGAGAGTATTGCTTGCTCCTGTCACGAGGTCAACTGATTGTGCGTGGTGCATCAGTGCAGTCAAAACGCGATCTCTTCTTAGATATCTGGTAAGATGGAAGGGAAAATGTTGAAGAAATGGGCATGCTGAAGGATATTAGAAGATTAGTCGAATGGCATTCATGTTTGGTCTCAGAAGAAAAAAAAAATCCGTACCTGCTCTCGTCCGAATGTTCCGTGATATTTTCCTTGTCTTGTTCAATCTCCTGTCGCTTTTCCTCTTGTTCTTCAGTCGCGGTACTCTTATCCTCCTCGGCACAAAAAATCACATCAACACATTGTACTCTTATTGTAGGACTGTTTGGGGCATTCCTAAAGGCAGCCTCCAATGCAGACTCTTCAGATTTTATTCGGAATTCATCGGCACCCCGAGTCCCAAATTTGACAGAGATCTCTGTAAGGCTTGTCAAGTGATGGAAGCAAGCAGCTTCAATAATGCTATCTGATTCTGATCTCTTTTTGTTTAAATTGAACCCTAGCTTGAGGTTTTCGACTTTGGGCATTGCTTCTGCCTCAAAAGACAAGCATGGTGCGGCACACATGAACTTGAAGTACGTGAGTGCTTGGAATCCCCCCTCCTGGATAGCAATCTTTTCTGCAGCTGTCTGGATATACAGGGTCAGAGCAGCGAGGGCAGATAGGCCTTTCAGGACATCAATATCTTTCCCCGACAGCCCCACAACTGCAACATTTAGAACGCAGAGGTTGACAAGATCTCCAACCCACTCGGGCAGTATGGAGAAGAAGCAACAGTGCCGCGACAGCTCTAGTCTCTGGAGAGCCCAACGAGGGGAGACTTCTCATTGTCGGGGCCCCAACCCGGGTTTCCCGAAAGTCGCCCAACGACGGGATCGGCGCCCAAACTCGAATCTCTCGGACAAAGCCAACTCGAGTTTCAAACCATCAAAACAAACTCCCATGCTTGAAGCACCAGCATCAGCCAGAGTATTTATATGAGAGGAGTCTGCAGGCGCCAGAGTTAAACACTTCAGGCTGAAAAGTTTCCCAAGAATCGAGCCCAGAATTCTTATATTGTTCTCTAGATTATAAGTACGTAACTTGGCACAGGTGAGATGAAGATCCCCAAGATTGGTGAGATGGCCAAGGTCCCGAACATGGGAGGCTGGGTTATTGCTGAGATCAAAATACCCCAGAGTGCAAAGAGATGTCATGCCCCGAATACCGCTGGGCATATCAGCCTCACTAGGAAGACTGAGGTACAACATACGCGGCAGACTAACAATATCTGTTGGAACAGCAGACAATCTTGCATCAATTTGCAGTGTCTCCAAGTGTTGCAGCCCTTGAATCTTGTCTGGAAGTTTGACAGTGATACTACTTTCAATCTTGAAATACTTCAGAAGTAATAGCTTACCAATTCCAGTGAGGTCAAAACTCTCGTTCTCTTCGTCAGCCCAAATATGAAGAATCAGAACCCGAAGAAGTCCATAATACGTAATGCAAGGCACACACTTGAAGAAACCCCAAAATATAAGCGATCGAACATGGGATGTTACGATGCTTTCCGGTATGCATGCACCTTTTACCCCTCTAAACTGGACAGACAATCGGCGAACTTTCTCAGGAAGTGCTAGAGTTGATTGATCATAGTCCACAGTGATGCTAAAATTTTCCTCCCTGGATTTGCGCCTAATGAAATCCAGTACAATCTGGTGAACTGAACATGACAATACCTCGCCGTTATAACCGGTGTCCAGGGCTTGGACCATTCCTCTGCTTACAAGTTACAAGCTCATCAAAATAACCCTCAGCAATTTCTTCTATGCCTTGCCCTTCCACAGCTCTAAGAAAGCCTTCGGCTACCCAGTGCTTCACCAACTCATCCTTCTTGATCACATAGCCCTGTGCATACATGCTGAGATATAGCAAGAATGTCCTCAATCGAGATGGGAGACTATTGTACATAAGGTTGAGAACATTTTCCATCCCCACCGAAGTGGAAGACAAAGAATCATGTACGTGCTTCCATTTTTCTGCTACGTTTTTTGACTCATTTGCTAGCAGACTGGCTATATTTACAATAGCTAATGGCAAACCACCACACTTTACAATCACATCTGAAACTTCTTTGATATGTTTTGGACAATCATCTTCAGGGCTAAACACTCTACTGAAAAATAACTCTCTGGATTTGTTATCATCAAGAGGTTCCATCTTATATATACGTTCCGAGTAATAACCACTGCATGCTAATGCTACATCTTCAATTTCTGTAGTTGTTATTATTCGGCTGCAAGAATCATCACGAGGAAAAGCAAGCCAGATAACATTCCATACTGATGCAGTCCACATATCGTCAATTACGATAAAGTACCTTCATAATTTTGCATGTTAGGGCATAAAAAAATAAAACTACAACTGTACATCGGCCAAGAGGCTATGAGTATATTGAAAATAGGTAATTATGATACCAATTTGTTCAGATATTGTGCTAGCATACGTCCATGCAATTAGTAAAATCTATGTATTATATAAAGTACATGAGAATTAGGAAATAATGAAATATATGCTAGAAAATAATAGCCAGCAGATTTTCATAACTTTATGTACACACATACTAGTTTGTAACTGTAATTTAAAGGACCATGACTAATAGATATACACAATTTATGATGCCTGAAGAATAAACGAAGTATAATAAACATCTTAGCATAACCGAATCTGTTGATGTGTTTGTATGGTTCTTTCTTATCGTGACTCGAGTCATCACATTTTTTTCAAGTCATCACATGCAGAGAGATAACTATTAGTATTGATATTGAAAGACGAGGAATCAAGCATACACTAAGTACTAGTTAGCGATGTCTACACAAAAAATTACAAGATGAGGCTGTGCCTAAGAGCCACAAACAGATCGACAACCTCCGGCGCGAACGTCACTTCCACTACAGAAAGAGGAATTACTCATATACTTATCAAAAAAGGCTTTCGCCCCGCTTTATATATAAAGCAATGACCGACCACAGCTCAGATACAAACGCACGCCACCACAACACACGCACACATCCAAGGCGGGATACATAGAATTTTTGTCAAAAGAGACTCTATGCCCACTGAAATTGCCAAAAAAAACCCCCTTCAAATAAAATTGACAAAAAGGACCCCCTAAGCTGTGGCGGCAGGCGCGGCAGGCGACATGTGGCACTTGCCGCCACGATGCCAGGCGGCAGCGCCTGTCGCCAGCCGGCGAGGCGGCAGCCTTCGAGTAACAGCGAGCGGCGAGGCGGAACGGAACGGAGGCTGATGGTGGGACATGCCACCAGTGAGGGAGGCGGCAATACTGTTCCCTGCCGCCTGGGGAGTGGCGGCAGGCCTGTGCGTGCTTGCTGCTGCCGATCGTTGCGTCGTGACTGCTGCGCCGCTGCTTTTATACGAGTTTTTCGAGCAGATACGCTGCTGGATCCTCGGCCAGGTGTGTGACACACGAAAAAGGTTGTTTGACTGTCTACGTTCCAGAGTAATTAGACCCAAGCAATTAGCCAGTGGAGTGGTAAGCATGAATTTGGTTAATTGAGCAGCAACTTACCTATCCATCTAACTCGTGTATTCGCATCCCATTCCCTGCCATGCATGCATGCATCTTCCATGGCGTGTTGCGCGCCTACCCCTACCTAGCCATAACGCAAAATCGGCAGCAGCAAACATGCACAGGCCAGTGCTGCCGCCTCCCCCATTGGCGGCAGGTCCCACCCATTCCGTTCTGCCTCGCTGCTCGCTATAACTTGAAGGCTGCCGTCTGGCCGGCTGGCGGCAGGCGCTGCCGCCTGGCACCGTGGCGGCAAGTGCCACATGTCGCCTGCCGCGCCTGCCGCCACGGTCGAGGGGGTCTTTTTTGTCAATTTTATCTGAAGGGGTTTGTTTTTGGCAATTTCATTGGGCTTCTCTTTCGAAGAAAAATCGGATACATAGGCGCTGAACGCAGCAACACTACCCCTAGTACTACAAGAGCAACCGGAGTCCTCAACCGCGGATACGCCAACGCGAAGAGAAGAAGCCGCATATGACGAACCATGTGCTCCAAGGTGGCGCCTTCAAGAAGGTTATGACACCAGAGCGCCGTCACTGGCCGACCCGAGGATCAGAGTTTCCCCTGGAGCAACACGAGGGGCAATGAGAGCCGCGACGACGCCTTCAAGAAGGGAGCGAGCTTTGCCGCCGCCGGTCCGTCCGAAGATAGATCAGGTTTTAACCCTGGCCGGGCTTTGCCCGTCAGCTCGCTGTGACGGCGGCTAG